CTGTATTTCATCTCTGTATTTCATCGGTGTGCAGAATAAATGACAGGTTTGGGTGGAAGGAAACAAGGTTACACAAGACCGAATCAAACAAGCACCCTGAAGAGTAAATCAGATCGGAAAGGAATCAGAGGAATCAGCTAATAGATTTTCAAGCGTGCACGGCCTTCGTAAATCAAAGCACGTTGCCACGGTTAGTTTTGGTTCTTTAGTTGGAAACCTGAGAATAAACCAGAGTAGATCAAGAGTACAAATATGACATTTATTGGTCACAAGCAGAGTAAATCAGCTGGGCTCTCACAGACAAAGTAAGGACGGCTGGGCGTAACCGACTGTTATTGGCCAGTTAGCTCTGACATGAACAGGCCAGGTCCTAATTCATACAGGTTTCAGTGAAATATGCTAAGAAAGTGTGTGTGTGAATATTGATCTTGAAGACGTTTATCTACTGTAACAGAGAGAGGCGGAGCAGCCATAGTTTAACACAAAAGTGTAATTATAAAGGGAATAATATAAATGTAAAAAGGAATAAGACAATCAGTTGTTTACATAGATTAAGTTATAACATACTATGCTAAAGTGAGTAATTATAGCCCAATTCTAACACCACGTCTAAAATTGGGCTGAGAATCAGAATCATAATCAGAATAAGGTTTATTGCCAAGTAGGTTTTTGACTTACAAGGAATTTGCCTTGGTGTTTGGTGCACAAATTTTTTATGACAAGCAGGGAAATACGATGTAGAAATAAAAACATAGAACAGAAAATATCAAACTAAAAAGTACAATCTTTAAAAATATAGATCTGAGAATAGAAATATGGATATAAGACTCATAAAATTACAAATATCAAAAAGTATGTATACAGGTGTGAATGTACAAATGAACAATTGAAATGTGAGAATAATGAGAATAACAAGAATAATGACGTCTGATTTGACAGAAAAATGTCCGACAGTCGCAAAAACACAGGCGTGTAAACAGTTGCGACTGTGTGTGCACAAAATTAATCATATAAATCTTCCAGGTGCTTGTTCGGAAAGGGGAACATGGCCTCGAGGAGATGCAGGGTCAACAAATGACCAGCCAATGAGTCTGAGACACCAATGAACAAAGGTTTTTAAGACAGATTACGCTTTGCTGCACGGCACACAGAGCCATTAAGCCTCCATGCATATTTAATGTAGCTAGCTATTGTTTAGCCTGTGCAACAAATAATTAAAATGTAAATGGCTGTGTGTAGTCATGAGGATATTCTTTTCCTTTTTGCATCTTTGCAAAAAGAAAAAGAAACTACTGTAACTCTAATCAGCCAGAAAAAATTAGATTTAGAATAATATTCATGCCTTGGCCTAAGATTGTCCTTCTTGGGCTTCCTTCCAAAAAGGTAAACTGGTAACATTTAACTACAACGCTGTGGTAAAACATTATGTTTTTTTAAGCTCCTGAAAACAATAAACCTGGTTCACATATTAAATAAGCCTACTTTTTGAAGCTAGTTTTCCAGTTTTCCAGGCCTTTTCACAGCAGAAGTTAAACCCTTTAAAGCCTGATCCAAGAATAAAACAAAACAGAAAATTACTTTTTTTTTGTTCGAATTCCTTATTTGGCCTTTTAACAAAATATGTAAAAAGAAAAAACAGAAATACATTTTTTATATTAATAATTAATTACTATGCGATAAGTCCAGATTATTTTTTGTGTAGTCTTCTGCCCCCTGTTATCAGGTGTGTCTGATTGTGTACAATAGGATTTTGAGCAAAGTTTTTACCATTAAATTATGCAAAAGGTGTCAGACGCAAAACATTTCAGAAACCGTATGAATCAGATATGATACATTTGGCATTACAGGGTTAACGAGCAGTTTTCCGTCTTTGTTTGT